TTCTCCATAAAGCAGCCAGAATGACATGTCAAAAAAGTCAGATTGTATCTTTTCTCAGGTCAAAATTTTTTCATCATTTCCATCCTATTCAGAAAAAAAATGGCATAATTCTTACAGTGACCTACAAGATCATTAATTATATGGGGGCTCACTCCTCCCTTTGACCTTTGGCCAGAGGTTTACAGAACAGAAAAGGAATGAAGAGGATGGTATCATATCTCTTCCTGGCCTATTCCTTGGACTGAATTTGAACCAGTCAATATGTATTTTTACCGTCCAGTGAGGTTTTTGTGTGTGGGTAGGAAAACTCACTAAAATTTGTACTTGTTTAATGCCATTTAAGTAATAACATCAATATATCAAACAATATTCCTTCAAATATTTAGCACCATTAACCATTGATATATTCATGCATTAAATATACAACTAATTATAAAGTCTTAAAAGATAGGAAAATGCTAAAATTAATGAAAGTTGAGGAAGGCAAACCCTAGAGGAATATAAACAAAATTAGGAGTAATGACTAAGCATATAAATATGAATAAGGCTAAGGATATAAGAGAAGAAGATTCTGCTCTGTGCATTTCAGAATAAAATTCTAGTTCTTATTCAATGGAAATTTTAGGTCTATATCTTTCATACCAATATTGATTTTTGAAACATGGTGCCTTTCTCAGAAATTATTTTTCACAAAATGTGTGTATAGCTTGCAGTACCTCAGCTATTATGCTACCCATGCAATGTAAGTATTTAGTCAGCATCAGCACAACATAAATGTTACAGTATTCATTATACTTATTAGATGTTAGTCCTTATTCTGATATAATTAGTGGGGCCATCTAGAATTTGTGTCAGGTAGCGTAGTGCCTAAGGCATTTGACTGCTAACCAGAAGGCTCATGGTTCAAACCCACTAGCCACTTCTCAGAAGGAAGATGAAGCAATCTACTTCCATAGTGATACTGCTTTGGAAACCCAAGGAGGCATCACTATGAGTTGGGCCTGACTCGATGGCAAATACCAGCAACAACAACAACAGGATATGATACCACCACTTATCTGTCAGTTTTTAATACTGTGATAGCTTCTGTGTTGCTATAGTGCTAGAGCTATGCCACTGATATTGCAAATACCAGAAGGGTCATCTTATTGGACAGGTTTCAGTGGAGCTTCCAGACTAAAATAGACTAGAAGGACTTGGCAATCTATGTCTGAAAAACTTGACCATTGAAAACTTTATGGATAGCAGCAGGGTATTGTCTAAGACACTGCCAGAAGATGAACCCCTTAGATTGGAAAACACTCAAAATATACCTGGGGTAGAGCTTCCACCTCAAAGTAGAATCAACCTTAATGGCATGGATGGAGTGAAGTTTTGGGGACCTTTAATTGCTGATGTGACATGAATCAAAATGAAATGAAACAGCTGCAACAATCCATTGGTAATTGGAATGTGAAGTGTAAGATGTATAAATCTAGGATAACTGAAAATTGGGGAAAAATAAAATGGAAACTTGAAGATGGACAATCTAGGCCTCCATGAGCCTAAAACAGACTACTACTGACAATGTTGAATCAGAAAATCATATGGACTACTATGCTGGGAATGACAAATTGAAGAGGTCGGTGACTCAAATGCACCAGCTGTTCCATGGGGAAAATGTGGCAATCTGCTGCCATAAAATTGTAGCCTTGGAAACCTTATGTGACAGTTCTATTCTATCCTATAGAGTCATAATGAGTCAATATTGACTCGATGGCAACAGGTTTTTTCAACATTTAAGGTATGCACTATAGGAGTGACATAGAAATTTTCTGGCTATCTGGTATCCCAATATTTAAAATTCCCCATATCCTGTTGAGTTGATATTTCTGACAACATGATCATATTTCCTCAGGGCTTTTTGTGAGCCATTTTATGAAAATCATATGGGAAAAACAGTGTATGTGCAAGCAGCCCAAACACACTTGTTCCTGGGGGCATGTCTTGTGCCTCATTGAAATATATGACCACTTCTCAGCTACAGCACCTTATTCTTATCAGGTACTTATAACTACAAAATCTTATTCTATACAATACTTTATTTTACCTATGTAGACTTAGGTAGGTAAAATAAAGTATTGTATAGAATAAGATCTATTTTACCTATGTAGACTTAAAGGAGCTCTGGTAGCATAGTGCCTATGGCACTTGACTGCTAACCAGAAGGCTGGCGGTTCAAACCCACCAGCCACTCTTTGGAAGGAAGATGGGACAATCTACTTCCATAGTGATACTGCCTCGGAAACCCAAGGAGAGGTCACTATGAGTCAGATCCAACTCGACGGCACATAACAACAACAACATGTAGACTTAGGACAGCATTGATGTATTGTGTTTAGGAAGCCAGTTTTCCATATGGAATCTGCTACCCTAGCTAAACTACTGGAGAGAGGTCTTTATAGTGGCATCACTTGAACTGAGAACTCAAAGAGGTCAAGAAATGGGCCACAGGAGATCTGGGGGAAGAATGTTCCAGACAGAGGGAAAAGTAAACATAATAGTCCTGAGCTGGGAAGAAGCATGACTTATTGGAGAGAAAGAAATTAGTCCAGTGCCACAGAAAGCATGGTGGAAAATGGGGGAAAGATTGGGAAGAGGGCCAGAGAAACTAACATGAGCTCAGTTCAAGTTAATAATTATAAGGAACTCTAGTGATGCAATGCCTAAGGCATTTGACTGCTAACCAGAAGGTTGGTGGTTCAAACCCACTGGTCACTCTGCTGAAGGAAGACTGGGCAATCTACTTCCATAAAGATAATTATGGTGATTGAAAAAATAAAACCATTGGGAAAAGGCATTCAAAAGGAAATAATTGGAAATATATTTATAATACACACCTGTGCTGGAAATTGAAAGAACTCTACTGAAGCCTTCTCCATGAGATGAAACTCTGCCTTTAATCACTTATTGCTCCAAAGAACCCCTTGAAGTTTTCACTGAGTATCTGGATTCTAGTGGTCTGACTGTAGAGAGACTGTCTGGACATGTCAGACAGAAGGTAGTGGACTATCAACAATTAAAGGGCAAGGGTGCAGCTGATAATAGATCACAGGACCCCATTTGTTAACTTGAAAATGTCTTACAAGGAATTACAAATTTCCAGTAAGGTATCTACACAATCTGCTCAATTATTCATCCAAGGATGGGGTTGATATGTGAATGATGTGAGCTCTGCACCTTACTGACTCCCTCATTTCCAGCAGTCCAAATCAAATGCACCTTAATTAAGAATTGTATGCTTTAACAATCCATATAAAGAACTAAGGGGAAAACCAACAACACCATCATCATCCAAATTACAAAGAAAAATAAACACATCGTTTAGATGTTATCTGATCACTCCTTTCCTTCATTGCCTTGGCTCTGCCCATCAAAACTTACTGTCAACACCCATATCCTCTTTCCACTTGCTCAAAATATTAATCCCTCCCCCTGAATATGCACATCCACACACATGCATAGACTCACAGACGCTCAGGGAAAAAAGAATGTCATTCCAACCCCATCCTCACTTTGACAGAGGGCATCTCATGTTAATACTTTCTCTAGATATCTCTGAAGATGGCAAACACTTGAATCACTGTGGAGCTAAGGCACCCTCCTTCATCTTTGGCGAGAAGCAAAGGGAAAGAGGAAGGGTTTTCATAAAAGCCCAGTCAGAAATGTCAGAGAAGTAATAATGCAAAGCAACACCACTTCCTGTGATGACAAATTTATTTTTAGAATTGATTAAGAAATATTACAGTAGGCAGAACCAGGTTCATAATTCGTGGGACCAGTGACAAATGAAAATACAGTGTTCCTTGTATGGAAAAAATTAAGAATTTCAAGATGGCAACTGCAGGGTATTAAAAAAAATAGGAAGCTCTTCTAGTCAAGGGACTCTGTGCTACTGCACAGGTCACATGCCCATGAAGTCAGCCCTAAATTCAAGGCTTTTGGTCATGGATATGGATAAAAACACCTGAATCCTTCTTTCAAGCAACTGAGAGGAAAGAGGAGAACTAGAGTCTAAATAACTACTGTTCAGCATAGGATGGGGTGAGCACCTTAAGCATGATTGGTTCAACTGTGGGAGCACAGAATAGCTTTCAGTTCAGCAATACAGGAAGGCTTGGTGGATAAAGAGCATCTAAGTTAGAAAGAGGTATAAGCAGGCCCCAGGTTACAAACACCCCCCATAAGGACAAATCACCCTTTAAGGTTATATAAATTTGCCCTCACTTTGAACCACCCCCTACTCACAACAAATTCTTCATCACAATCACCTTCACTTGCTGCACATACAGCTGTTAAATCACTGAAAAGCCTTCAAGCCTTTATTTGCACTAAAATAAGGCTAAATAAGAACCATATGCATCTTTTTAGACTTAACCTACAAATTTGACTTAAAGAAATGTTTAGGACAGATCTTGTTCATAACTCAAGGACTGTTTGTATCACTGAATGATCAATAGAAATGAACATACAGCTAAAGTGGAAAATGTATTGCTGGCAGATTATTTAAAAAAAAAAAAAATACAGACTTCCAAAAGGTCAGGATCTCTGCTAGGAAAAGCTGTTTTAAGAAATCATGCATTGATTATGGGATTGATCCATGTTTAAGCAAAACTAGACAAGGATTTTATATAGAAGATCAAGCTAATGTCTTTACAGTTGGTTCAGGCTTTTTTTCCATATCTTCAAGAATCCATTTTTGGCCCATAATGCCTGGACTGAGACAAGTTGATATCCTGAAATCTTGGAGCCCTGGACTTTGGCTCCCATGGCAAGTTCAGGCATATAGGGAGTGAGGACATCAGGAGAGATGATATTCCAACTTGAGCTGTGGGACAAAGAAGAGGACCTTACTTTAAAAGAAGGCAAATCAGAGAGAACTGGGGAAGGGAAAAAAGAAGACAGAGAGGAACAATGAATGAGTTAAGAAGAGGTTGAAGAAGTAAAGAATGACAAAAGACTCACCTCTGCTTTTTCAACCAAAACCCAAAGACAATCAGCACGACCAGTGTGACTAAAACAGTCAAATGGATCAAAGTCAGGAGCATGGAGTATCTATCTGGTTGGAGGAAAGTATGGCTGTCAGTTCATAGTACTTTCTTTTTCACTGTAGTGAATGCTTCTCATTGCACAGGGGTGGGACCTTCCCAGAGTTTTCATCTGTATTTTCTGGAGCCCACGTTTCCAAGCCTCCTGCATCTTTATCACTAATCTCTCTCTGCCAAACCACTAGGCCTTCTAGCTTCTCTTTTTAGCACTTCTAATCCCCTGCTTTTATTTTCTTGGAATTTAACTGCTGCCATTCTCCACCTTTTGTAATTTGGATTCTCCCACTCTTATTTTTCTGGTGCCTAACAGTCCTTTCCCATTTCCCTAATTCCTGACTCAAAAGCCTTAGGACTATCTTTCATCCTTTCCCCACTGAGCTCTGTACTTTCTCACCCCAGTGGATGATAATATCATGGCCTCTCAGACTGCTGTGCTTCACTCGGCAATACAAGCCAGCTGTTTCACCAGTCTTTGCTTCCAAAGTTACTTGGAGATACCAGGTCCCATCAGCATTGGGTAGAACATCACCTCGCTGAGTGCCTTGCTTCTCATGCTGCCCCTGCATCCACATTACCCACACAGGCTTTGGATGGAAACCAGAGACATGGCACACCAGCAGCAGATGGCCAGGCCTGGGAGTGGGACCTTTAGACACCCAAGCATCTGGCTTCACTGGAGAGAGATGGGGAGAAATGGAATTCAGGAAGGGACTTCAAGGTACTTTGGAAATCTGGGTAATTACTTACTTCCCTTGTCTATGAACCAATCCTGAAACCACACATCCCATTCTCTAGATTCTTATTAAAGTTTCAAAAGTATAATAAGGAATGGAAAACTCAAATAGAAGAGTTAAAGCACTGGAAATAGAAACAAAGAGTTGACCTCACCTTGATGTTCCAGTTCTGTCTTCCCTGCTGCAAGGAGGCCTGCCAGGAATCGAGGGCAGGTGTCAATGAGAAGACCCTGCACTATTTCTTTAACATCTCTGTACCGATTGAGCATTCTGCAGACATTCTGGGCTTGGCTCCCTGCTCCTGGAGATGGCTTCCAGGAATCCTCTTGGAAACTCAAGAAATCTGTTCCTTGATATGCTCCTTTTAAAAATCTTTCTGGGGCCTTCCCAGCACGCAACCTACAGCCAGCTGCTAACTGCATCTCAAAGGGATCTGGAGGGGGGAGAGAAGAGAGAACCAGTATGGAAATAATTACAGGATAGGGAGGTAAACAATGTAGAGAATAAAGGGATTCAAGGGAAGGAAAATTTGTTGGGGAATCGTAATGGGAGAGTAGGTGGAAAAGGAGGAGGAAATCTGTGGTAAAATAATTAGAAGATAACAAAGATATTTTGAGAAAATTTATGAGAAAGGAGCATATGGGAGGGTTTTTAGGAAGATAAAACTCTGATGCCAAAGAAAACTCACTCTTGAGTGCTTAGACACAAGCCCCCTAGGGCAAGGGAGAACAGAGGGCAGAAATGTGGTTGGAAGTCTAAGGCCAGGGACAACCATTCCATGGAATCACATTTGAGGGTATGTTCAGGGAAGTGAAGAGATTTGTATAGGCCCCCTTGTATGTGCAGACCCTCCTGTATATGGTAGGAATGGAGAAAGGCAAAGAAAGACACAGCTGACAGGGTATAAGATCAAGAAGATTGATAGAGCTCATTTACCATCTTTCCCCATAGGATTATAGAGTCCTCAGACAGAACAGTGAACCTAAAATAATGAACTCACATTCAAACTGAAACTGGCTGGCAAAGGTTTTCACCGCCGGGTTAAAACCTTGCAAGTACAACTGAAATAATGCCTGGAGGTTCTTCAGCTCCTCCTTGCTGAAGTTCCCATGGGACCAGGGCCGCAGAAAGCGGATGGCACCCAAGACGTTGTCCCAGCCATGTGTCTGCAGCTTGCCCAGCCAGCCTGAGCCCTGAGTGTATGCCCAGCTGTGGTTTGCAAAGGAGGAGATCTGGCGCAGGCAGAAAGTGAGGGGCTCTTCTTCCACTAGATAAGAGGATCCTGGGGCCTGGGGACCTGAGGTAGGAATGATGAATGGAAAGAATGTGAGAAGATGGGAGGAGAGGGGCCCAGAGAGTAAAGGATGGACAATACTAGACTGGTTGAATATATTCTAATATTTCCCCAAGGCCAGCTTCTTCTCTCCAAAATCAGAGTGAGCAAATGAGACTGGAGCAAGGATTCCTACTGGAACTAGCCTGGAATGCAACTCCAAGGGCTTTCCATGGTATATTGTTGCCTTTCCCCATCCCATTCTCCCCAGGGCTTCCTCTCTGCTCACCTGTGCCCCAACCCCAGGAGTTTTTCCACCTGAGCTCTTCTTACCTGCTATGCTCTCTGCAGGGCAGAAGAGTCCCTCAAAGAGCAAGGGCAGCAGGAGCAGCATTGAGAATCTGTGAGGTGAAGGATGACTAGTAGAATGAGCTATACTGACAACTCCCATGTCTGCTCCCTTCCCCTTGCTCTCTTGCACTCCCTTCTGGCTTCCCTTGCTGCACTGACAAGGAGTACAAACCTCTCTTCTGCCCACTTCTCTTTCAGAGAAACTCCCCTGCCACCCTCAGCCACAGGCCTCCCACAGAGTCTTTCATTTCCCCTCCAGTTCTCCTTCATGCTGCCCTTTTGCCACCCTTCAACCACCCCCAACTCTCTGGCTTCCAGATTTTCAACCTGCTTTTATCTCTAACCTCCCGATCTCTGCTTTTACTTCTGTGGAAGGAGTCCTGGTTAAGGACCAAGACTACAGGCTGTGGATTGAAAAATTTACTAGCTTTTGACCTTGGAGAAATGAAGTCTACATTTGTGTTTTCAATCTCTTCGACTGTGAAAAGAAGAGATAGAGGGTACCCACTGGTGCCCAGTGACCTTCCCAGCAATTTTCCTACTGCTTATCTCTCTGTGGCCTTCACTTATTACTCCCTGTTGCCCAGCCCTTCCTTTCTCCCTCTTTCGTTTGTCTTTTATGCCATTCTTTACTTGTCCTTTACTTCTTCCCACAGAATCTGCTCTTGTTCTTCTCATCCATTCCCCCTGCCCCCTCACCCTCCATTCTGTCTCTTCAGTCTGTTCATCTCAAAATCATATCAGAAGGCACTAGGCATTCTAGGTGTAGTTATATAATCCACAAGCTAAAGATTTGCTAACCTTCATTATTTGTAGTGAAAAAGTAGCAGCAAAGACAGAGTAGATGATGAGATAATCTGAAGAAAATGCCCTGTTTCTCAATTTCCTGGGTTCAACCAATTCCGGTGTTGGAAGGGATCTTTGAATGGGCTTGACTTGGAAGTGGTGAACTAACCATCAGGTAGATTTTTATCTATGTTTTATGGGTGAGTCTAGAGTGAGAAGTCAGGGGCTTTGAGCCTCCAACCCTACCCCAAGTCAGATGTGAAAAAATGACATGGTGGAGGTATCTGAGCTCTTCTAACTTCATGGGGAGTAGAGATAATCACCTTCAATATCAGCCCAAAGCTGATTCCTATGAGGTGGAGGTCAGACATGCCTCTACTCTCCAAACTTGTTACCAATCCAACATCACCCATCCCTCCCATGGCACTCTCTACTTCTCTAATAAAACCAAAGAAAGTACTCACTGCCACCCAGTCAATTCCGACTCACAGTAACCCCCTTTATGTTTCTGAGGTGATAAAGATTTACAGAAGTAGATTGCCCAGTCTTCTTTCTGCAGAGTGGCTGGGGGGGGGGCAGGGGGGTTGAACTGCCAACCTTCTGGTTTGCAGTAAAATGCCTTAGGCACTATGCCACCAGAGCTCCTTACTTCTCTGATAAGTTCAATAGTTTGTTGTGGTGCCCACACAAAATTCACATGATTATGGAGTTTATTAAGAAAATAATAGGTTACAATTCAGGATGAGAAATGACTCAGGATACAGTTCTTCAGTCAGGACAGCTTCTTCTCAGCCGTGCCTACAGGCATGCCTCTCTCCATCCCTTGGCCTCTAGGGCCTATGGTCTTTCTGCCTTTGCTCTGCTCAGCCAAGTTCTACAAAGTTCTTTAGCTATGCAGTAATTGATAGGAGGCACCCTACTTTGCCAGCAAGCCTCCTGCATGAAGATGCTCAGCTTTCTTCTTCCCTGGGTTCAATCTACTGTGTCATCTCCTGCCAGTCTCCTGATTCTGCTGCCTCTGCTATCACCACTTTCAGCCACTTCTCTCACTGGCTCTGCTATTACAGCTCCTTCTCTCTGTCTTGTCAGTCTAGGAGGTTCTCAGCACAGGAATCTCAGGTCCAAAAGATGTGTGCGCTACTCCTGGCTCCTCTTTCTTGATAGTTATGAGTTTCCCTTTTGCACTTCTGGGTTGGCTAATTTTAAGCCTAGCAAGATAGCAAAGCTGACCAATCCCCTTGTTAGAATTCCATACACCTTATTTTCATAGCCCCTCCACACAAGGGTGCCGAAAGCTATTCAGTACCTTTGGTGGATCATAGTACATTTGTATAGTCCCATCCAGTCATTCTGTGAGAATTACAAAGACTAAAGGGATCATTGTATTCACTGTATTGTAGTATGTCTAGAGGTCTGTATGCAAGCTTCACCCTGGGGATGAAGACAGAGAGCAGGGGCAGCCAGGAGGCCTCCTGTCACAGTTCGTGTCCTAAGAGCACTGGTCCTCCTTCAGTGGTGTCTGGTTAGAGAGTAGCTTCACAGGGTGCAGTGAAGTGGCTCTAGGGGACTGGAGTATTTGCAGGAGAATGAATTACTGTGTTCAATTTTTATTTTTGTTCTTTTCATTTATGTTTGTCATTGCAGCCTGAAGGCAGTTGAAATGTCATTTCCCTATTTGATTTTCACATATTCATTCAACTGTCATTTACTCAGAGCCCATATTGTGCCAAAATCTGTGCCAGACACTAAGATTTCAGAGATATAAGTTCTTTAGAGAAAACAGAACAAAACTCAACCCAAAACCGCTACTTTTCTAAAAGCACATATAGACTAGTGGGAAGAATTATTAAAGAAGGTCCACACTCAGTCTCACTCTGGTTTTATTTCTGAATTCCAAAGATAAAGTTGCAGGCAGAAAATATTGGCCATTTACAAAGAAGAGATGCCTTCATCTGTACTGATGTCTCAAATGCTATACAATAGGGAAATATTTCAGAATTTTGAGGGAAATGAAGTGACCCTAGAATTCTTTATTCAGGCATAGTATCATTATACTGGGAGGACAAAATTAATCTACTAATTAATAATTCAAAGACCATACCACACATTATGGGACAAAATTAATCTATTAATCGAAAATTGAAATAATATACCACATTGTTTTGGTCCTCTTTTGTCACTCTAACAGAAAATACCACAGGTGAAATGGATTGAACAAACAGAGATTTTACTCTGTTACAGTTTTGGAGGCTAGGAATTTGAGTTCAAAGTGCCAACTCTCGGGGCTGGTTGAAGGCCCCTTGACCTTAGGCTTTAGTTCTGCCTCTTGTTCCTGGCCCACTGAACATGGAGGCATCTCTTACCTCAGGTAGCTGCTGGCTGCTGAGGCTGACAAATCCAAGGTCAACAAAATGACACAATCCCAAGATTATCACATAACATGGCAGGCCACTGGTTCAAGTCCAGAAACAATCCTAACATTAGCAGATAATATGGCAAGCTGCGGAATGAAGACTTGGCTATGCGCAGGGTCCAAGCAAGCCAAAAAGCTCCAGAGACCTTTCTCAAAACTGTCTTCATATATAGTAGAAGCAGACTACATCCACCCTGGAGTTGATTACCAGTGTCATTGTGGTGGTTATGTTTTTGTGTCAACTTGGCTAGGCCATGGCTGGGCAGCTGGATGTAGTATTCCCCATGATGAAAGATAATCAACTCCATGGTGGAATCTACTGTGAGCAGCTGAGTAGCTGCCTTAGGGAATGTGGTCTGATTCCTGTATATAAGCAGAAGCCTTGGGAATAGTCTGTAGCTTATGGCACCTTGAACCCTGCATATAGCCGTGTTATTGTTCAGCAGCCTGCCATGCTCTGCCAACCTTGGGACTTACAATGGACTTGAATTAATGGCCTGCCATGTGATTTGGTAATATCGGGACTCTGCCTTTTTACTTGTCAACCTTGGGCTTGGCGGCCTTAGCAGCTAGCAGCTGTCTGAGTGAAGAGATACCTCTAGCTTCAGTGGGCTGGGAGCTGGAGGCAGAGCTGAACCCCAAAGTTGAGGGGCTTTCACCCAGCCCCTAGAGCCTGGCACTTTCAACTAGAACTTAAAGCTGCCAAATTGTAAGAGAATAAACTACTGTTTGTTCAAGACATCCCATTTGTGGCATATTCTTGTCAGATTGGCACTAGGTAACCAGAACATTCATCATGGGAAATAACCATATCCAGCTGCTCAACCACTCAAAACCAGGCCCAGCCAAGTTGGCATATAATTTTTAACTACCATACACATGTTATGGAATAAATTATCAAAGTAAAATCAAAAGCTAACCTGAATAAAGAAATGGTACAAGAGACAATAGTATAAAAGTATTAAAAAATATATACAGGAAACTGAATAATTGTTTAGCATGAAATTGTAAAATTTACTGCATTTCTTAGTTAATCCAGAAAGGGGGGGAGGTGAGAATAATCAAAGAATTGAATGCCATATGATCACAAAAATGGGGAAGGAGGTGAAAAAGAAGTAAAGAAAAAAAGCTCATATGAAATCATGTCTTATTGGTCACAGGAGCAAAACAGAAAACAAGGACAGTTAGAAAAAATGTTTAAATTTTGAAGTTTATATAAGACTAAACCAAGATGCAAAGAGCACAAATATTTAGTTTATATCTCCAAAATATTTACAATGCTAAAACTTTTTAAAAAATGAAAAAATATTTTATCATGCTGGGAAAAAATTAAAAGATCCAACTGCTAATGAGAAATTTTAAAGATGCTCTTCAAAAAAAGAAATAAAATGAGATGGACCCAAATTCACAGCCCAAAATAGATTGAGAAGAAAAATAATGAAAAATAAGAGAAAGTCTGCCTACTGCAAACTAAAACTAAAAAAAATATATATATATATAAAATGTGAGAGAGTGATTAATTAGAAAATTTCCTGGGTGGTGTAAACAATTAACGTGCATTTAAAGTTCTTTCTGTCATTGGTGTTCAATGCATCAAATCTATTCTTTAGATGATCTCTAAATTCAGGAGGGATATCTTCAAGATCATATTTTGGCTCTCTTGGACTTGTTATAATTGTCTTTAACTTCAAGTCGAATTTGCATATGAACAGTTGATGGTCTGTTCCACAATCAGCTCCTGGCCTGGTTTTGCCTGAAGATATT